CTGAAGGAAGTTTTAGAGTCTACATAGTGACCTGTATCTAGCAAATGTTCTGTAATGGAGGAACGACGCGTTCTATGTTCCTGTTTGAAAAGCCAACAAGGCAAGCGCTACTTAAATCTGGCTGCCAACTGCCTTCGCGCTCGCCCTATGTACTTACATCCACAAGTGCATGTAAATTAATAAACACAACTGGAAGTGGCGTGCAATGGCAAGGCATCCTTCGCAGCAGGAATTGATAAGGCCTTAGCTGGAGAGCAAAATATAAGCTTGGCAGCATATCAAGTTCTATCAATGGCGTTAAGCAAGCGCCTCTTGATGGTGTTTCAATTTTTATCGCCCTTAAAAGGTAAGGAAACGAAAAAACCCATTCAGAAGCAGCTGTGACGTGGAAGTTTGAAACTCGCGGGATAACTTGGTCCAATCACGATTTGAGGATCAAACTGAAATAGCTCCTTACTGACACGACCGTTATGGTACGGGAGATTCAGGACCTCCTTACTTGTGTCAAGTCTAGTTGGTATAGAGTTATGACCATCAGGTTTGTGGCAAGTAAACAAAGATGATTAAAAACTTCTTCGAAATTGCGCACTCGCCTAACTCTAGTTGTTCGGTCCTAGTCTCACATTCACAAACGAATCAGTGTAGGAAAAGAGGGCGGTAGTTACGAAAAAGGTCTCTTTCAGATGAGGCTGTCTTACCTGTACTCAGCGCCCCAGCCCTTGACGAAGCTGATGCGGATGGTGCACATATTGGTGAGTGCGTAGACTGCCTCGAAGCCCTTGTTCACGCTCTCTGTCAGCAGGGAGGCGAAGTGCTGGTTGTTGAAGATCTTCAGATTGCATCCTATGAGGGGTGAGGAGAGGTGAGAAGGCAATTAAGGACATGCACTATCAGCATTAGCAAATAACGCACACCCTCCGCAGTGGCAGCAATCTGTGTAAAAAAATCGCCTGTAAAATACAGTATGCGCTAAAAACCGTGCAACTTTCATAAATTTGTAAAAGTTTGACCATTAAGAAACATAAAAATTTCTCGATAATCCCCAGTTCCGGAGACTTATGGGCCACCATACAAGAAACCCCCTCGGGCAATGCAACACATCACTTTAACTTACTCTCCACAAGCACATAAAAGCAGCTGCCACCCCCCTCTCTCTCAAGACTTTCTCAGGCCTGGCTGGACGCAGTCAACACCACCCCCGGGCTTCCCCAGTGGCGACTGCTGCACTAAACACAAATACGGCTTGAACACTACAAGCTATCTGAGGAGTGGAAACCTCGTGAAGCAAAAACGTTTTTTGACTGCATAAGTGGAGGGTTAGGAGGCAGAATGCAATGTCTTGATGGCGAATCTGCACCGACCTTATTCTCTCTCAGAGAAACGAGTCTGACAAAATTCAGCAATGTCCACCATTAACAATGACTCTGTAGTGCTGAATTGATTTTCCGCGCAAATTAAACCTTCTGTAGGCTTCTTATTCGTTGTGAAAGTCATGCAGCGAAAGGTTGCAGTTGATAGGCCATCAGGAGATTTCTAGATACCAACAACTTCTGTTGTCTACACCTGCTATGCCGCGGAACAAATCTGCGAACGAAAAGAGGGCTTTTTAAATTGAGCCGCCATTCTTTCCTCCCCCCATTCGTATGCAAATTTTCTTATATATATCCATCGGTTGGCCTACTTCGCCCATTATAAACCGATTTCTGTCCCTCTTTGTTTATTTGAACTACAATGAGATCATGACTGCAGGAGGTCACGACGCTAGCGTCGTTTTGAAAGCAGTCCAATTTGGCCTATATTTGACGACTATTCCAAGGACACTTATCCCCGATGTCGAAAATTGTAGTTATTGGCGAGTATGGATTATTTTTGATTTTCGGGTGTTGTAAGTTTGTGCGCCCAATTTTAGTCCGAATGAACGGAGGACGTTCTCTGCTGAATTATATTTTCAAATAAAACGTATCTCTTTTTTTCCCTCTCCACTCTGTAAGTTGCCAACATGCCTATCTAATAGACAACGGATATGCCGGGCTGCCAGATTGACGTCACTCTGATCGGAGGGCTATGGGATGGAATGTGGGGATTGGCATTTCGATCGCACGTCTCGCGACCACGAGACGCAACAAGCTTGCACTTTCTAAGCGGGACTTGGATAGGGAAGGCAGCCTAGGCGATTAGCGCAGTTCGCTATGGGTTACGACTTGGGTTTGATGGGAAGAAGCTGCGAATTAGCCTGGCCCGCCTACGGGATGGGAATTCACCCTTGCTG